TTTTTTGAAAGCTGATGATCCCCATGCCCTCGGACTCCGCTTCCGCACCTCCGCGGACCACCTCCACCAAATGGCAGACGCAGCGATATCGCATCTTTCCACTGCTCGATGGGCTCGGCTCCGCCTGGCTTATGCGGGCGCGGCCTCGTGCCAGGCTGGGGATGTGCCCTTCGACCTTGCTTTGTAGAAACATTCGTCACAAGGGGAGATCGGACTTCGACAATCGACTTTGAGCAGGACAGTGGGTAGCTTGCGGTCCATACTTACAGCAAAGCTGTATCACCTCAGAATGCCCTGAGCCTGAGAGCACTGGATTCTTTTCATAACTTACAAAACCGCAGCCAGCGAGACCTAACTTGCGCAAGCCTTAGCTTAAGGCTTAAGTGTTGTCCTGCTGGTTTGCTTGTTGTACCTCCTTTTACTCCCATTCAATCAGGATGTCGTTGGATAGATGTCTAGTCCAGTGGCCCCCAAACCCACGCGCCTCAACGTCCAAGCCACGAATACCTGCATCAAACAACACCAAGGGCCCCTGGTCCCAAATCCTAGGTGAAGTCTCAAGTCTCAGCGATACTGCTTATGCATCTGACCTTTTTGCCAGACCATCACGATCTCAACCTCAATTTCCATGTCTTTCATGCCCCTTCACCCATGCCTGGGGACTTCCGAAAGAGCTCGCCGCAGCCTCGATCCTTCCGGCAAAGTGCAACGAAGAGGGCTCAGATCTCACACGCATGCAAAAATGTCCGGCAAATTCCATTGGTGCTTGCTGACCCTGCGTAAACAAGTGAGGTTTATTCTCTCGCGGGGTCGCTTGAGTGCAGCTAACAGCGAACCTGGCGAGGAGTGCCCTCGTGAAGCTGCTTTGCCTCAGTGGCACAGCGGTGCACAAGATCACACCAAAAGCCTGCTTCTTGTGACAGGCAGCCACTGAGACTCGTACGGTGCTCAAGAGATGCGACGTCGCGTCATCCTTGGTCACCTTCGTGGCTTGTCGATGACTCAAAACAACGAATCAATGACACCACCGTGGCAAAGAGGACAGCAAGTGCGTAAAACGATAGAGCTGCACTAAAATCTAGCAAACAAGGCAACTTCATGCCACTATGATATGGCCACGCGTGCTTGCCTTCGGTGCTGCTTTCTCGCATCTGACCATTGTGCCTTCTAAGGTCCCCCGCCCCGCAATATGCAGATTGGAGCTTCTCCAAGTCAGCAGTGGCCTGGCTGTGGGCTGGAGCTGGTGTTGGTCTTGTCCTTTCAGTGGTCGGACGCCTTATCCAAAGGATTCCTCTTAACATGGGATTGCATCTTGTCATAGCTGCATACCCTTAATGTATAGCAAGTGAATCAAGAATGATCCTGTTAACATCGACACTAGCAAGGGGCAAGGGAACCTCGTCAACAGCTTCGACTGCTTGCGAATAACATAATATTAATGATAATAATTACAATAGTTAACAACAATATTGATGATGATAAACAATAAGAACAATAATAATAATGATGATAATGATGATGATGATGATGACGACGATAATGATGATGATCAGGTCTGCTAAGTGTGAATTTGTGTGTGTGTGTGTGGTAGTCTAAGCATGTGGGTGGGCGGGCGGGCGTTCGGGCGGGCGTGTGGGTGAGAGGGGGGGAGGCGGGTCAGAGTCTGGCTGTGGGTGTGTCTGCGAGAGTGTGTGTGTGTGTGGTGTTGTTGCTTGAGTTTATGTTTGTGTTTGTGTTTGTGCTTGTGTTTGTGTTTGTGTTGTGCTTATGTTTGTGTTTGTGGTTGTGTCTGTGTTTGTGTCTGTGTCTGTGTCTGTTTGAGTGTTTGTGTGTGTGTGCACGTGTTCGTGTTTGTGTTTGCGTCTGTGTTTGTGTTTGTGCATGTGCTTGAGTCTGAGGATTGTGAGATCAATGGGTGATTCGATGAGTGTACAATCGGGGGCCAAAATGACCCAGAGAAAAACAACAAACAAATAGAATGAAGCTGTTGTTGCGTTGGGGTTGGGCTACCAAAGGTTCGATGTGCATCTCTCCGCAGGTCCCTAAAACCCAGCCAACATCAGCACCTAACAGCAGGGAAACTGAAAGTGCCACCTTGAATGGTGAAACTCAAAGAACCACCGTCACCGACGCTTCAAGCCACCTTGGTTCTTGTCTACATACTAGGAAGCAAGAGATTGCTCACATCGGTGATTGACCAACCACCTGTTTCAGAAAACACACAGCTCAACTGCTGATATTCGAACATGTTGCAATTCAACACGGATCCTGATCTTCGTAAAGTGTGTAAATTGTGACCCGACCCACACCCATTCAGACATGTCTTCCATCTTGTGGACCCACTTTCGGCTTTGGAGGAAGCTAAGCGTCCAGTTCTAATCTCCGTGTTTCTCTCTTTAGGATACTCTTTTGGCCATCGGGCATAACCTATGGCTCCATTTTTGGGTGGATGAACATCCATTTGGCACCTATTTTGACGTTCACCAGGGGTAAAGGGTTTTGACCCACAGCCTTTTAACTCTTGGGACATGGGGGGTATGTTTTTTTTTCGCACGGCATCCCCTTCCCCCCCCCCCCCAACACCGCTCCCACGCGCCTGCGCGGAGCTCCGGCGCCAGGGCCCCCAAAGCAGGCGCTGGCTGCTGCGGCCGGGCACCGCCCGGCGGTGGAGGGCTGGCGGGCGCTCGCGTCGGAAATTTTCGGAGCGCGCCAACGGTCAAGCGCCCCAAAACATCGGAGTCCTTTTAGGGGAAATAGATGGCCCTGGTAGATGACTAAACCACCAGGTAAACCAGGAATCGCCATCTATTTTTCTACCAAAACAACCAGAAAGGACACCTATGCCCCAAAAACCTGGCCCTTGACACCGCCCGTACGTCTCCAAATGGGGGACCCTCTGGAAAAGGATGACTTTGTTCAAGAGCGGGCAAGAGGAAAACAGGCCTTGCTCAGGTACTGCTTTTGGCAGGACCCTGCTGGTGGTTCTGGCAGTTGCGATATGGTGGTTTGCACGTGGCTGTCAGCTTCCAGCCCCTAAAGATGTCTGATAAGCCACATAACTCATAGACTTGTGATTGAAGAATGAGATGTTTCGAGGATCTCCAAACTCTTCGATTTCTGTATCAATGTGTGTGTGTGTGATCTGAACCACTTGGCAGCATCTTGCCTCCGTCCTACGCTAAAGCTCCATTGCGATCGGGACGGTTTTCGGTGGAGTCTGGAGTGGCTCGCTACAAGAAGGCACGGCGAGGAGGGCAACATCCCTAGCATCGAGCTCAGTCTCCTACTCCGCAGGCTGCCCCATGCGTTGCAGGGTTTCAATTCGCTTAGGTTCTTGCGACAGGAATAGGGTGGGCTTTAGACGGTGTTAGAGCTGCTTTGTTAGGGTTGCTGTTTGGCTCTAGCTGGGGCTTGACGGGTGGCGTTGGGCTGGCTTGTCAGGTTTTGGGGTTTGTTTCAGCAGTGCTTACTGTTGCTGAAGGGCGCTACTTGTATTTGCTGGTTTGCCCTGGTTTTGGTGCGTTGACGCCAACCCAACCAACCAACCAACCAGCCAGCCAGCCAGCCAGCCAGCCAACCAACCAACCAACCACCCAACCATCCAGTTTTGGAGCCCTTGCTAAGCTGCGAACCACTCCTACCAACCAAAAACATCGCTTCGTGGTCTTGAGAAGCTTTTTCAGGCGATACAGTCGCCAAGGGGCTTCACAATAACATCTGAGTGCCACCAGCCAAACTTAGGCAGCCTCAACTTTGCCCGCGGCGTCTGTTTCGAGCCTCTCCTTTTGCTGGGGAAAGTGGTGGCCCCTCTGATAAGAACATAGGTACTGTCCTGGACGAAAACGCCTGTCCCAAAACACTCCGCAAGGGCCTGCAACTGCAGAACAATCTCCACCTTAACCCCAGCCAGGAAACTCTGAACCAAAGCGTAGTGCCAAAGAACTCGACGGTGTGTGACATGAAACTGATGACATGAATCCAAACAACGGCTTACCCAGTCGGAGCCGCTTGACCATGCTCCGCAGGCACACTGGAACGCACAGCCCCTGCCCCGAGCCTCGGAAAAGACCCTCCTCAAAGTTCTGCTCGATTTCGCCTGGGATATCCTGGCAGGCAAGCCATATGGCTGCTGCGGAGGCTCCTGCCATAGCCTTTGTCTGAATCCTTGCTTCTTGCTCAGGACTTGCGGACAAATATGACACGTCCTTGTTTAACAGGCATTCTGCACGAACGTGTTTTGACTTGCCAAGGCTTTCGGGAAAAGCCCATGAAGAGGCACGCTCTAGTGGCTAGCTGAAGCAACGTGGCTTCAGCCTCCTAGTGGAAAACCTCCAGGCATGGCGTGGATGACCAGAACTAAAGGATCACATGGAGTCATCCTGGGTCATCTGTGCGCTGCCTCTCCTGGAAGACTATTAGTTCTGGGACTATCCTGTGGCTCTGAATTATCGGCCCATGCTTCGCTAAGATGACCAACACAAGAACAATTCCCACGAAACCTCCCAAAGACCCACGTGCTGTTTGTTGCGTCTGCTTTGGCTTGGCAAACTCTCTTCTGTACATGGACAACAGGGCTGCTCCAAAATCTTGGCTTGCTAATTCGAAATAATCTCAAGAAGCGCTGCGGAGCAAACAAACCCCGCCAACTGATGGGCTCTTGTAGCATTCAAAACCAGACCTCTTCACTGCAGCAGAGAGCAACCCTGACCAAAACAAAGCTTGCATTGCCGGTTGGTCACAGCGTGAACACGCAAAACTGCTTGGCAGTCAGGTCTGAAGGATATCTGCATATTATATGCAGCCCAAAAAACCCGCGCCAAAAAGCGAGCTCCGAATTCGGGCACTGGCTACCATGGCGTTCCCCATCTGAAATAGACATGTTCCGAGCGCCTTTGACCCTTCATGCCAGGTAGCCGGGCGCCAAATGGCCATGGGTCAAAACCCCATACACCCAGTAAACATCCCAATCCTCCCTAAAATAGACTAACATGGGTGGTGCACCTACCCCAAAATGGTACCATTGATTTTGACCCACAGCCAAATTTGTCCCAGAGGAAAAAGGGAGACCGAAAGCAGATTTCATCCAAAGAGCTGCTGCATGAAGGCACCAAAGCCGCCCTGGGCTCAGTGATTTCAGCCAAGCCCTTGTGGAAGCGAAAAGATGGGGAAAACGTCCAGCATGGGGCATGCCAACTTCTACAAGCATGGGAGGGTGTCCATTCGTCAGTGCATCTCCTTGTCAAATACTGGCTTATGCAAGGTGGAGGTCCTTCCAACGAAATGGCAAGCTGTCCGTTGCCTGAGCCGTTGCAAACCAAGTTGGGTTCCTTCTTATGCTACGAGGGAGCTGCTTCTTGATGATGCTCTCATTTGGCTGTGGGTCAAAACCAATGGTACCATTTTGGCGTAGGTGCACCACCCATTTTAGTCTATTTTAGTAGGGATCTGGGGGTACGGGATTTTGACCCATGACCATTTGTTGAACTCTTTTGGAACGACTCGGTGAGGCGCGTTGAAAACAAGAAACCCACACGTCATGCGTGGTGTCCCTCGAAAAGACTGTCGTCAAATGGGGATTCCCCGAAAAATCCTTTAGCTTTCTATCTTCAAACCCCACGCCTGCGTACAACAACATAACCGCTCGGCTCACTCAGAGCCCAAACCAGTACCCCGCCTCCTGCTGTCGCTTGTGGGCCTCTCGCCTCAGCTTCTTCTCCTGGGCTCAGCCAACCGAAATGCCTCCCCTGCAGATTAGCAGGAAGCGCCAAAAGCGACGTGGCGTGTTTTCCTGCATGAAACACGTACAAGAAGAGAGAAACAGTGCCATGTTCCATTCTGTTCCAGGATCCTTCGCTTCAACGAGAACACCACAAACTGACATGTTTAGAGGAATCTCCCTTTGGTGTACACTCCCTTCTTGGGTCAATTTGTAGAGGACTGGGTCTCAAGCTGAAGAATCAATTTCAGCTTCCCAGTAGGTATCCTTTTTGGATTGTCCCGAAGGCAAATCAAAAGAACTTGGGGTTTCCCTGGTTGGGCACGCCTGGGCGGACATCACTTGCAGAGGCATTCATGTCCTACCCCTTTTGAGGGTGGAAAGGGAAGCCTGGCAAGCTGGGCAGGTATGGCCGCGTGCAACAGGAGGAGGGAACATGAAACAGGTTGATCATTATCGCTCACCAATCAGAGCACGTCTTGGGAAAGTTTGCCTCCCAGAGTTTATGTCTTCTTTATCTGCAAAGTCGCGGGTGGGCGGTACTTTTGGCTCGAAATTCTCAGGGGAGCCCTGTCGGTGCCTCGAGCTCCTTCTCCTTGCGGATCGCGTAGGCGGTCCAGCCCTCTTCAGGATAGCCTTCCCTTTGTGCTTTGGACATCTTCGCCCAGACCAGCGGAGTAATGCAGCAGCGCTCGTTCCTCAAGCAAGAAAAGCAAGAGCGGTGACAGGGTTGACCCACATAAAGAAACAATCCGGGTTCTTGAATGATATGTGACTCAGGCAGGCCTCACGCAGGGCCCAGAATAAGAGTACTGGCTTTGGATGGTTTGTTTCTGTTTGAAGTATGTACGAGTTGTGCACTGGGCCTTCTAAGAGGACTCTGTGATAGTAATCTCACGCACAGATCCTCTCCTCCACGTTATTTCACCCAAGTAATGTCCGCCTAGTAGTAAAGCCCCCCTACCGGGCTCAACTAGTGGGAGCACCGTCCAAATCGATTGTCTAGCATTGCTGGAGCTTCCTTTTCAGATTGGATTTAATTGTCCATTTGATTTTAGTATTGCTGGAACTTTCTTTTGAGATTTGGAATTGAGCTTCCTTGTGATCTGATATTGCTGGAGAATCCCGTTAAGATTTCGCACTGAGTCTCCATTTGATTTAGTATTGCTGGAGCTTCCTTTTGAGATTTGGAATTGAGCTTTCATTTGATTTATGGTATTGCTGGAGAATCCTTTTCAGATGTCGAACTGAGTCTCCATTTGATTTAGCATTGCTGGAGCTTCCTCTTAAGATTTGGAATTGAGCTTCCATTTGATTGAGTATTGCTGGAGAATCCTTTTAAGATTTCGAACTGAGTCTCCATTTGAATCGGTATTGCTGAAGCTTCCTTTTGAGTTTCCGATTGATTTAGTATTGCTGGCACTTCCTTTTAAGATTGGATTTGCGCTTCCAGTTGATTCAGTATTGCTGGAGTCTTCTTTTGAGACTTTCATGGGGGGCAGAATTGTCATTGTTCAACTCAATTTCGAGAAAAAAAAAAAAGAAAAAAAAAGAATTCCAAAGACTTAATAAAAAAGGGGAAAAAAAAGAAGATTTCAGGATCGATAGGGGCCCCTGAAATAAAGTCAAATCGGGGCCCCATTGTGGGTTTGATTGTGGGCAGTTCTGGAAAGCCAGAGGCAAGCAGGCCCAAATCTAACAGCGCCTGAAGCTTCACCAGCACACCTGGGCGCCTTATGTATTGAAATAGCTAAGATGTAATTACACTGGGCAAGTTGCGCTTTTTTGAAAGGGCAAACAGCAAAAGACTTTATCGTAGGGCCCCAGAAATAGTGTCAACTTGGGGAAGTATAACCCCTTTGCGGGTTTAATTGCGGGCAGGTATTAAACATATGTCTTTTGGGAAGCTGGACATGTTGGAATTTTGGGGCTAAAGAACCAGGTACCCAAGATCTAAGGACCATGTGTGGGCTTGGCTACTTCCTCTGGTCTCCTTCATGTTTTTACTTCTTTCTTACCTTTTGCAAAGAGGAGGGCAGGGGGGTGCTTGTCTGCATTCCAGGCGCGCTTATTATTATTTGCTCGCGCCGATTGACTTTACTCCACATCCATTTAGCATTCCAGGTGGACATTCAGCTTTGGTGCTGCCCTGGTTTGAGCAGAATACAGTGGCCACGTGCAAATGGAACATCGCAACCCTTGAGGTTCTAAGCCTCCGACTTCCGGCACACGTCGCCTTGGCTGACCGGCGGAACTGGGGAATCTGTCTACTTGCCATATTTGGGGCACCCAACGTATCCACTTGATACGGCTCTCTATTTGTTGGGTCAAAAGTGCAGAAAATTGGCCCCGTGCTCAATGTACAGCAGAGGTCAACTCAGCAAACCTTTGGCGGAGAGCAAAACAAGTCTTGTACAAGATTCATGCGCCGACATGCAAGAGACCACGCTACACTCTGCAAACATTTGCTTGCCCCATTCTGAATTGCAAAGGGACATCAGGTCAACACAGGCCGTGTTATACCCTTTATGTGAATGCTGCGTTCCTCGGAACTACTTTTGCTTCGCCAAGCCGCACTTCTCTGGCATGTAGGTGTCCTTGCCAGTGAACTCGAAATAGTATGGGCATTGAGGCCTCAAATGCTGAGTCGCTCCAAAAGCACTACACGTTCCTAGCCTTGCCGGTCAAAAAAAATGCGGTTGACCAAACATAAGAAAGGGGAAATTGACTTTGCCTGGTCCTTGTGGGAAATTAGGTGAGCCCAACCTCCCTATTTGTCTGAGAAATTCGCCATAGACGCACGCGCCAAGGAGCCTATGGTGGTGGTTGCCATGGACCTCCACCACCTTGCGGTTCGCCATGCACTGCCAGCAGAACTCCATGCGGCACTCCGGGTTGCCTGCACGCGCGATCGCGCGTTCCCATGCCAGCAGCAACTTGAGAGACGACATCCGCAGTTCGTTCGCACAGAACTTGGCAAAGCTTGCTTGCGAGAAAACGTAACTACGTAGATGTATCGTAGAACTTCGCGCAAAGCTTCCTATTACATAACGAAACGAATCGAGATCTTGCCCCGGAAGTCTTTCACGAATGTTGCACGAGCACCTTGAAGAGCCGCTTGCAAAGAGCAAACTCAGAACATGTTGGCTTGCTTCTGTCAAAGGGGAAACCTGCAAAGATCATCTTGCACAAAGCCTATGCGACCTGAGAACACTGCGATAGGGCTCTGTGCAGGCAAAGCTGCTGCAGAAGATGTGATCGCAGTCATCCTCGTTGTCCTTGATGACGGGTTGAAAGCATCCCGGGCACATCTTGAAGCCGTGCCTTGCCAAAGATTCAGGACCGAACTGTTCATGTCAAGTTGGTCAAAGAATAAAGGTTCTAAGTTTGTACCCATAAAAGCCTTTTAAAGGAGGTCGGAGGCATCACCCACTTGAACAACGCACATAACATGTATCGGGCAACCTATCCATATTGCTACACCTTCACACCGTGACAACTTAACTTTTCTTGTTGATTTGCTCTCCGCGCAAAACAGGATCCTGCTTGCCGCCAAAGGCCCACCTGCTCAAAGGCAGCACAACTCTTCAGATTTGTCAGCATTGCCAACCACAAGAAAAGGGAAGAGTCCTCATGGTGTCAACACTCAAACTGATTGTACAAGCCACGCCAGAACTCCGATGAGCCGCTATGCATCTAGGACGCGGCTCCAAGTTCTCTCTGAAGTCGTCGATCTGGTCCGCCCTGACTCTGAGTCGCTTGGCTGCCAAATGCGGCAGCTGCACATTTGAAGCTACATCTGACAGGGTCATCTCCGCAATATGGGGATCAAGACTTGCAAAAAAGAAAATCTCATGGCGGATGTTGCTTGAGTGTGGCAACCAATCATATCACCAGTGGCATTTCCGCTCTGAAGGTCATCTGGACGATAACACCAGAGCCCCAGGGGCTGACTCGGATGGACCACGGATTCACGTGCCCTTGGCAGGTACATAGTTTCTCTCTCTCTATTTTGACGGGAGCCAGGCAGCTGCTGTGCTAACGACTTTATGGACACGGCAAAGGCTGACACGACAAAGGGCTGGCGCCCGCCGAATAAAAGCTGCCGAGGATCTTGCGGCAGAACCACTCGAGGTCCTTGAACTTCTCGTGTCGGCGCCGGAAGACTCGACAGCTGTGCGTCTCGAACCAAGGCCCGCTGCAGCTCACGCAAAACCGGGCCTGCCGTCCGGGAGACGCCCAATCAAGACCATGTCACCGCCAAAGGACACCACAATGGACACCACAAATGGACAACAAATCGCAAAAAATGGCAGACATTTGCAAGAACTGGGAAAACGTGCCAAGCGGGCAAAGCGAGCAAATTGGCAATGGCATTGCTTTTAGAAGCATTTGCGAAAGCAACAAGAAGCTTCATGTTTCCCAACGCTGTCTGCAAAACAAATCTAGTACTTCCAACGCTTGAAATAAAGGATCCCCAAATAAAGGACCGTCATCACGGTGAGCTCGTCTTGCCCCGAATCGGGGAGCTCGCTGTCTCGGCAAATGACACTGCGCGCAGGGGATACGTGCCTTGCACTGGCTGCAGTCGGCACAGGTCATGCGGTAGCCGGGTCGGCGCTTGGCGACCTCCTTCTTCCGGCAAATGACGCAGTCCACCATCTGCAGTGAGCATAGCCAACCGGACATCTTTGAAAGCGCGGCTTTTGAACAAAACACAGGGCGTAATCAAAAAAAAAAAAAACGGACGGAACAAGGTTCCCGAGTCAAAAGTGGGCAACCAAATGTCCACTCACAATACAACTTTGGGCCATTCTCTGATTCTCTGCAAGCCAAAGCCAGAATTGGGGAGACCACTACCCCAGGTTCTCACCTTTCATTTGAAAGCCAAGTCAAGTGGAGCGCAACCTGAGTCCTTCCCTTTTGCCAAGCGCATTCGGGACACCCCGCCTCCGGGTAGTTTGGCTGCCTGGGCTGCACGCCATCGGCCGCCATGACGCGAAAGGCTCGGGCTGCGCTTCCGGCGAAGGCTTTGGAGCCTTGTCAGCATTCCCACCATCGGGGACCAGCTTGGCAGACCTCGAGGAAATCCACGCTTTTGGGAGGGGGAACCAGGTCAACTACCTGCTTGACCATACCTAAAGGGACTGTTGTATAAGCATCCTGGAAGGGAGACTACCGATGTTCATGCCTGAGGGTCAACCGAGCGCTTGCAGCATTTGGTATGCGCCAGGGCAAACTCTATTTTGCTGAACCACACAGTCAAAGCAGGGTTCGCCAATCCTAGTGAAAGCTCAATTTGGTATTCTGCAGCTAGAGAATCAATACTCCGGTTCACCCTGCCCCCAGGGACAGTCGAAAGAAAGCCGCCGCCTCTGCCTCCGGCACCTCCTCCCTCTCAGGTTTCCGTCTCGAGGGGCCTGGCTCAGAGGGGCTGCCAGCACTAGACGAGCGTGTCTGCTTGTCAAACACGATGATTTTGCGGGGCCTGCACTTTAGGCGCAACATGTGCCAGAAAGCCTGCATTTGTGCCGTGTGTTGTCCTGCGTTTGCTGCAAGATGCATTTCGTTCGGGGCGAGGTGAGGATGGCTCAGCGCAGGTGTTGCATCCCTTGCATCGAGGTCAAACATCCCCGGCAAATCATATTGAAGCTGCTCAACGTTTTCGTATTTGTCGTCTTTGTCGTGTTTGAGGTGGTGTCTGTCGCATCTGTGCTGGTGGTGTTCGATCAGTTCTCAGGCTCCTTGTGGCTATTGGTGTGCTCTTGGATATTTGTACTCCGCTTTGGATTTCATGGATGTCAGATGCTCCCTTGGAGATGGGCCTACGGTTTGCTCCGAACATGCACATGGATGCTTCTTCTTTGTCTAGTAGTCAGTCGTGTCCAGGCAGGAGACATTGCCATCAGCGTTGGTTGAGCTGTGTACGTGTTTGGAGTGCGAGAAACGCAAAGGGTAGGCGCAAAGGTTAGAAGGCGTATGCGTATGCGCCGCGCGCGATAATGCGCGCGCCACCAAGGCGCAGCGGCTTCAAGCTCGCGTCGCCGTCGCGCCTGCGCTCCGCGCGTCACGCCGCGTCTCGTCTCGCGTTTCTTGCCTGGCGAGCCGATGCTCGCGCTCGCATCTCGCCCGCTCCGCGCCTCATCCGCGCCCGCGTCTCGCATCTCACGCGCTCGCGCTCGCGCTCGCGCCCGCGCTCGTCGCGCCATCCGCGCGCGCGCCCGCGCCCGCGTCTGCGTCCGCGCCTGCGCTAAATCTCCCTGCGCCGCCCGCTACGTCTCGCGTCTAAATCGTGCGCCGTCGCAAATGCCTGTTCGCCTGCGCGCGTCGGGGCTCGCTCTCGCGCGCGCGTCTGCGCGCGCTGCGCGCGCGTGCGCTGCGTCTGGCTGGCGCGCCGCGTCGGTCTGCGCGCGGGGGGTGGGCGGCGCGTCTGCGCCGCCGCGCTGCGTGCCGGCGGGCGCCGGGGTCGCGTGGGGCGCGGGCGTCTGCTGCTGGCTGCGGCGCTCGCGGCGCGGGGCGTCGGGGGCGCCGGGTCGGGCGCCCGCGCGCGGGGCGCTGCTGCGGCGCCGCTGGCGCTGGCGCTGCGCGTCTGCGTGCGCGGGCGCCGGCCGGCGTCTAAATGTGCCGCGTCTGCCGGCGCAGCGTCTGCGAGCGCGCGGGCGCATCTTAGCGGCTAAATGCGGCGTCGGCGCCGCGCGCAAGCGCGCGGCGCAAGCGCTAAATGGCGCGGCTAGATGCAGCTGGCAGCGGGCTTAGCGCTGGCTTGGCGTGCGGCGCGGGCGCGCGTTGCTGGGGCATCTTAGCCGTCTGGCGAGCTTGGCGCGGGCGCGGGCGCGCCGGTCTTGTGGCGATGGCGCAGCGCGACGCGGTATGTGCGATGCGCTTGTCAGCCGAGCGCCGGCGCGGCGCGACGCCGCAGCATGGCCGGATGCTTGAGCCGGCCGGCGCGCACGGCTGTGAGCGCGCGGGCGCATGGCGAGGCGCGGGCGCGGGAAACCTTGGACCTTGGCCCATGGGGCGGGGCGGCGGGGCGGGGCGGGGCGTGGGGCGGGCGGGGCTTGGGGCGGGGCGGGGCGGGGCGGAAGGGCGGGGCGGAAGGGGCGGGGCGGGGCGGGGCGGGGCGGGGCGGGGCGGGGCGGGGGGCGGGGCGGGGCGGGGCGGGCGGGCGGGGCGGGGCGGGGGCGGGGCGGCGGGGCGGGGCGGGGCGGGGCGTGGGGCGGGGCGGGGCGGGGCGGGGCGGGGCGGTGTGGTGCGGAAGGGTGCGGTATAAGCGGTGCGGTGCGAAAGGTGCGGTGCGGTGCGGTGCGGTGGTGCGGTGCGCGGTGGTGCGTGGTGGGGTGCGGCGGTGCGCAAAGCGGTGCAAAGTGGTGCAGCGGAAAGTGGTGCGAAAGCGGTGCGCGGCGCGTGGTAAGCGGTGCGCGGTGTGCCGGTGCGGTGCGGCGCGTGCGTGGGTCAAAGGTGTGGTGCGGCAAATGGCGCGCGTAAAGCGCGGCAGCGCCGGAAAGAAGCGCTGGCGCGCCAAAGCGCTGGCGCAGTGCCATAATATGGCGCGCTGGTGCGCTACAATGGTGAAATATATATAATATAAACCTTAATAGCGCCGGCGCGCTGGCGCGCGGCGCGCCGGCGCGAAAACATGCAAGTATATTATAAGTAGGCGCTAATATGAAATATAATAGCCGGCCAGGCGTCGGCATGTCACAGATAATATATATGTCGGCATATATATATATGTCATAGTACATGTACCAGACAAACCATATGCGTATACAGAACAACATATAATATATAATTATAACGATAGCATAGGATGTCATAATAATAATAACAGGCGCCATAATAATAACAATAATAATAATCCCTATAAAATATACAACACAATATATATATAATAAAATAATAATAATAATAGGGTATATAAATAAACAATAAAACATAAATAATACATGGGTCATATATTAATACACATAATAAATAATAATAAGAAATGAGAAGCCAGAAGTAATAATGAAATGAGAAGTAAGAAATGAAAGCCAAGCCAGAGAAATGAAAGCGAGGCGAGAAATGAGAAATGAGAAATGAGAAAATGAAATGAAACAGAAATGCAACGAAGCAAGCAGAAATGAAATGAGAAAGAAAATGAGAAACAGAGAAATGAGAAATGAAATGGCGTAAGCCAAGCCAAATGAAAGCCTGTGCGATCTGAATCTACTGGTCTGGTCTCAGTCTGAGTCTGGAGTCTGAGTCTAAGATCTGGATGCAGATCTGGAGTCTCGCATGTTTTGGCCAGCAGATCTGAGTCTGAGTCTATGCGAATCCGTCTGAATGCTGAGTGCAGGTCTGGAGTCTGGAGTCTAGATCTGAGTCACAGATACTGGAGTCTGGAGTTACTGGAGACTGAAAGGGCCATCTGGGTCTAATCTGAATCGTCTGGAGTCTGAATCTGGAGTCTGGATCTGGAGTCTGGGTCGCATGGAGTCTGGGGTTTGGATGAGTCTGGAGTCATGAGTCTGATCTCGTCACAAGATAAGTCTTGTACTTGTAGTCTTGTAGTCTTCTGTAGTCTGTGGTGTGAGTCTGTGAATGTATAGTCTTATGAATCTTATGGTCTGTGAATCTTGTATGTAGTCTTGTAGATCTGTGAATCTTGTGAATCTGTAGTCTGTAATTCTGTAGATCTTGTAGTCTTGTGGTCTGTGAGTCTGTGGTCTTGTATGTAGTCACTTGTAGTCTTGTAGTCTGTAGATAGTCTTATGAATCATAGTCTGTGAATCTTATGAATCTGTGGTCTGTAGTCATGAGTCTTATGAATCTTAGTCTTGTAGTCTTATGTGAATGCTAGTCTTGTAGATGTATGAATGTCTTGTAGTCTGTATATGTAGTCTTGTAGTCTGTATACATACATACATGATCTTGTGAATCTGTATCTTGTAGACATACAGTCTGTGGTCTGTGAATGCAGTCTTGTGAATAGTCTTGTATAATCTTGTAATTGTATATACTTGTATGTATCTTATGTATAGTCTTGTAGTCTTGTAGTCAAGCCAAACCTCGTAGCGAAAAAAAGATCTGTAGATGCCACCAAGTATCTATCTTGGCGATGCATCTAGCGATGTCTTGGCGTGTCTTGGCATTAGTGTGGCGTGTCTGGCGTGTCTCTGGCGATATCTGCTGATCTTAGCGATATAAGATATCTGCTTATAGTATCTTGGCGGTAATGTCTTGGCGATATCTGGCGTAATACTTGGCGTGGCGTGCCCAGCGTGTCGCAGCGATGTAGCGATAATCGCGGCGTGTCTTACGGCGTATCTGGCGATGTCTTGTGTATGCGATGTCGCCAGCGGCTTGGCATCTTGGCGTATGTCTGGCGAAGCGTATGCTTAGCGCGTGGGCTGAGGCGAGAAGCTATAGCGTCTTTCGTCTTGCTGTTCATCACAGCACAGGTGCACATGGATGATGGTTCCGTCTCGCGTCGCGTCACTCGCGTCGCGTCGCGTCGTCGTCGCGTCGCGTCGCGTCTCGCGTCGGCATCGCGTCGCGAGTCTTCGTCGCATCGCGTCGCGTGCGTGCGTCGCGCGCGAGTCTGTATGCGGCACGTCGCGTGGCTGGAGGCGCCCGCGATGATCGTCGGTGTGTCACGTCTGTCTGTTATCATCGCGATCGCGTCGCGTCTCGCGAGAGCGTGCGATGTCGCGTCGCGTCGTCTGCGCGTCGCGCGTGATGCGATATCGCGTCGCGTCGCGTCGCGTGCGTCGCGTCGCGTCGCGTGATGCGTGCGTCGCGTCGCGTCGCGTCGCGTCGCGATCGCGTCGTCGTATTGTTATGTCTTCGTCATCGCGTGTCGCGTGGTCGTTCGCTCGGTCGCGTCGCGTCGTGCGCGTGTGTGTGTGTGTGTGTGTGTGTGTGTGTGTGTGTGTGTGTGTGTGTGTGTGTGTGTGTGTGTGTGTGTGTGTGTGTGTGTGTGCGTGCGTGCGTGCGTGCGTGCGTGCGTGTGTGTGTGTGTGTGTGTGTGTGTGTGTGTGTGTGTGTGTGTGTGGGCGGGTGCCGTTTGGTGGTTGCCCTCTCTGTCGGCAGGTAGCAATTAGTGGTGTGCGCGGAGGCTCCGTGATCAACACAACATTCATCGAAATCCAGAGAAATAATACAGGGTAATTGTATGTGTCGAATGAAACGTATTGACCCTTCAGCCCATTCTTGGAGCACATGAGCCTCTGTTGGGCATCCACCGTGCAGCTTTGTACCACACACACACACAATACTATACCTGACAACAACAAACAACTATGGCGCACTGCAACAGGGCCACCATTGCTGTTGTGGAAACTGCAGGGTGCTCTCTGTTTCGACTGCATCTACGCTTGCAAAAAATGAGACATGTATTGCTCCGAACGTACTGATTTTCAGATTGGTGCGCAGAACTGCCCTGATGTCCGGCGTAGCACGCTTATTTATTTTTTATTTATTTTTTTCCGGGCCAGTAAAATGTTGCATTTTACAGCATTTTCTCGCAAAATTGACGCATTTTAAACAAGCCCGTCAACATCCCCAGCATCGTTTTCAACATCCCCCGCATGTCCGACCAACATCCCTAGCATCACCAACCAATCGTAGGTAACAAAATCAAAAAAGTAGCTGGCGGGTTGACGGGGTCAAAAAATGATGAATCGAATAGGAGGGCATTTCAATTCCCAAAAAAAGTAGCGGGGGGTTTAGGGGGGCGGCAGCCCCCCCCATGATGTTGTTTGCAGAAGTGATGATTTGAATAGGGGTGCAATTAAATCTCTGCAAAAAGTCTAAAAAGTAGCGGGGTAGCGGGGGGGTTGGGGGGAGCGGCAGCCCCCCCCATGATGTTCGAAGAATTGATGATTCAACTAGGGGTGCAATTAATTAAGTCTCTGTAGAAAATCTAAAACGTAGCGGGGGGGTTGGGGGGGGCGGCATCCCCCCCCATAATGTCGGAAGAAGTGATGATTCAAGTATGGGTGCAATGATTCAAGAAGGGTGCGATAGAATTTAAAAGGCAGCGGGAGGGTTGGCGGGGGTGGCTTCCCTTATGATGTTCGAAGAAGTACATACATGCAGACATACATGGATTACACAGAATACCTAAAATGTCGTATTTTGCAGCTTTTCTCGCGAAATCGGACGCTCGAAAAGTGATGATTGAACTAGGGGTGCAATTCAATCTCTGCAAGATAAATCCAAAAAGTAGCGGGGGGGAGGCGGCAGCCTCCCCCCCCCTTGATGTTTGAAGAAGTGTTGATTCAAATAGGGGTGCAATTACTCTGCAAGCAATCTAAACAGTAGCGGGTGGGTCGCGGGGGGGGGGCTTCCCCCCGTGATGTTCGAAGAAGTGATGATTCAAATAGGGAGGAACTGGTGATGCTGATGATGCGGGAAGCCACATCCAAAAACCGATGAAAGGGTGCAAAAGCCAAAAAGCCCGGACAGGAACTGGGAAAGCAGAGGATGCAAAAAGCTAAAGCCGCCAAGCCAAAAGCCGCATAAACCAGCGAAAAGCCGCAAATGCCGAAGAGGAACTGGGAATGCAGAGGATGCGAAAGGCCAAAGCCAAGAAGCCGAAAAGTCCAGAAGCTGAGAAGCCAAAAAGCCAAGAAGCCAAGAAGCCAAAAAGCCAAAAAGCCAAAAAGCCAAGAAGCCAAGA